AGAGAGAGAGAGAGAGAGAGAGAGAGAGAGAGAGAGAGAGAGAGAGAGAGAGAGAGATTGCCACGCTGTCCACGGGCTGATTCTGACACGTGCCGTGTGGTTTCGTCTTTGCCTTATCTCTTTCCAGGAAATGCTCCAATGTGCACGCCCAGCAATTCGGCTGCTCGAGTGTTTCGTATCGAACTGCAAATGCCAAGCAGATTGAATGTTGAATACTCCATGCATAGGTGACAGGACCTGCTTAGCAACAATGACACTCTTATAGTTGAGGGCAACTTCCTACAACTACCCCCTAGGGACCTCCAATCACATCGCCTCCGCCCACTGAACTGAGACACACACACACACAGAGGGTTAGTGTGAGTAAAGTCAACCACTTTTCTCAAGGGGGGGTATCGTTAGCTCAGGGTGACGTGGTGAGTCCTTATCCATCAGTCAAATGCATCCTGTACAGACTGCCGCGGTTCAACTTCCTGTTGAGCTCTCTTCTTTCATGTGTAAAATGTTCCCTTCTCTTTTGCGGGCGGAGCCGCAACAGTTGATCTAGTCAAAGTGAAACCTGTTAATGTCACCGTCCATCTTGTGCGTCGTCAACGGAGCGGATCGGCCGTTTCGAGCCGAGGAGCCTGATAGCACCGACGGTCAACCATGGAGAAATGTCAACGTCCATCCTGCGAGTGGTCAAACGACCTGATCGGCGGTTTCAAGCCGAGGAACCTGATAGCAGTATCTACAGGTCAGGATCAAGCGGCGGCGACCACATAACTACCGTTAGCAGTTTTTTTTTTTGTTTGTTTGTTTTTTTTTCCGAGGGCTGCGCCGCGGTCTGCTGCAGTGCAACACAGAGGCAACACTGGAGAGGTCGGGTCATCCGATTGCGGTGCAGATACCAGTCAGGGTCGTTGCCAACAGTGCATGTGCTCCATGAGTGACCGTAGGAGTGTGTCTGGAGCGCGGTGAGGCCATGAGTGATTGCCTCTCATAGGAGTGTGTCTGGAGCGCTGTGAGGTCAAAGGAACGCGCATTCTCGGTGCAGTGTCTCACGGGTCGGCGGGTGCAGTGGCTCACGGGTCGGCCGGTGCAGTGTCTCACCGGTCGGTCCAGTGTCCAGTGTCTCACGGGTTGGCCGCGGGGACTGAGCGGACCCTCGTGATAGTTTCAACCTACTGGGTGTAGTCGTAATCTGTCACTCGATGAAGGACTAATCTTACTGTATTACAGTAAGATTAGATGTGCATGCTAGGATATGTTGCACTGTATCTGGAGGCGGTCACCATCAAGAGCGTGGACGGAACACTCCTATGGTAGGGTCGCTCGACAAGAAAGTACTTCGGGTAGTCAAAGCGGCTGCTTATGCTGATCGGTAGGTTACACTGCAGAAGTGAAATCGGCGGGAGTCTGACGCAAGGCTCGTCTGTGCATCGGTGACTGATAGCAAGCGGGCGGGATCATGTCGTCGTCTGACGATGATGACGCGGAAGAATTGCGTCGGTTGCGCGTGCGCGCATCTGCGCGACAAAGGGAGATGCTAGATGCGGGAGGAGGAGGAGGAGGAGGGGTGTTTCGAGGCTTGAGCGGGTCGTCCCTGGAAACTTTGAGAGAGAAACAACGTCGACTGCAAGAGGCGACTGCTGTTACTTCGCACGTTTTTCAGCCACGTGATTGCGGGGATAGAGCAGTGCGCGGGAATGCCCGCCGTCCTCCTCAGCTGTTCCCGATTGGTGTGGAGATTGCTGACGTGGAGCCGCCGCCAGCGGCGCAGTTGAACGCTGCTGACAACGGCGGCACGAAAGGAGTGGAGTCCTCTTCGAAGCTCTCATACGTTGGAAAGAGGGGAGAGGATCGGAAACTTGATGGAAAGGATGATAATGATGATGATGGTGATGATGATGATGATGATGGCGCTGATGATGATCAACGGCGGGGGAAGCAACAAGGAGGAGGCAGCTTTGAATTCGAAGCCGTTGATGAGGCCAATTTACAGGAAGGGCTACGCAAGTATTTCCCCCTAGCCTTCGGTCAGCAAGAGGGGAAGAGAACGCCTCTGGAGAAGATCCACTCGCAAACGAGGCGGGAATCTGGGAAATCGGCAAAGGGACAAGCCACATCGATTGCATTGGCGGGATCCAGCGGTGATGGCGACGTTGGCAGAGTGGGAGGGCAAGGAGGAGGAGGGTGGGAGAGGCGGAGGGAGAAGGAGAAGGAGAAGGATGGAGGAGGGGTGTCCTCCTTGTTCAAGATGAAAAGCCAGGAAGTGAAGGGCGCTGCTTACGATGAACAGGAGGCGAGGAACGGGATCAGGAGCGGCGGATCAGCAGGGAGGCTGACGTCCCCAAGATCTATGTCGAAGAACCGTGAAAGGGAGGGAGGAGGAGATGTAGAGGATGCTATGCCGCTTGTTTCCACGGGAATGAGCGAGCGGCATGAGGAAGAAGATGACAGTGGTGGAGATATGGTTGGACTGCCGAGACCGCCTCCATTGAGATCCATGCTGAAAGAGCAGAACCAGGAGGAAGAAGAAGATGAGGGGGTCATGATTGGTCCGCCAAAACCCCCGCCAGCGAAAGCCGGGCAGGAGGAGGAGGAAGAGGAAGAGGAAGAAGAGGATGAGGGTGCGATGATCGGCCCACCAAGGCCGCCGCCGGAAGCATCGACGGGAAGGGACGAAGATATGGAGGACGGCGGAGAGGGGCCGGTGATGATTGGTCCAGCGAGGCCGCCGCCAGAAGGGCAGGAAGGTGAGAGTGACGACGACGATGACGACGATGACGACGATGAGGATGATGAGGATGACGATGATGATGGAGATGAATATAGAATACCAATGAGCAATGAGATTATCCTTGGAGGGCATTCCAAGATCGTCTCTGCGATTGCGGTGGATCCTACGGGTTCCAGAGTCTTGACTGGCTCTTATGATTACGCAATTAGGATGTATGATTTCCAGGGGATGGATACACGGCTGAGATCATTTAGGCAACTTGTACCTAGCGACGGACACCAAGTGAGAGCACTGAGCTGGAGTCCCACAGCTGATCGGTTTCTGGCGGTCACAGGATCGTCTCAAGCGAAGATCTACGATCGTGATGGACTGACGCTTGGCGAGTTCCTGAGAGGGGACATGTACATTCGAGACGCAAAGAACACCAAGGGACATATAATTAGTCTGACATCGGGAGAATGGCACCCTAGGGAGAAGAATACCGTGCTGACTTGTTCAGAGGATGGTACAATTAGGGTTTGGGATCCGACTACATTTAAGGCGGCGGGTCAGAAAATGGTAATCAAGCCGAGACTGTCTAGACCAGGCAGGGTGCCGATCACCGCCTGCGGATGGGGTAGGGATGGGGAATTAGTTGTGGGAGGGTTGTCGGATGGCTCGCTGCAGCTGTGGAGCGTGAGAGGGAAAGGTGGGTGGGGAAGCCGGCCCGACTTCTATCTGGAGAAAGGTCATGAGCAGGGTGACGATATATCCGGGGTGTGTTTTTCTGCAGATGGGAACATGCTTCTGTCCCGAGCCACGGACGACACGCTCAAGGCTTGGGATCTGCGGCGCTTTAACTCACCCCTCAAGGTTTTTGACGACTTGCCAAACAGATACGCCCAGACGAATGTCTCATTTAGCCCCGATGAAAGGCTGATTTTGACCGGGACCTCATCTGTAAAGGGTCGGGATCTCGGCGATCAAGCAGCTGAGAGGAGCGGGAGAGGAGGATATGTGGCGGCGTTTGACAAGGATCGTCTGGAATTAGTGCGCAAGATTGGGGTGAGCGGGGACTCCAGCGTGGTCAGGGTGGCGTGGCACCCTCGATTGAATCAGATCTTCGTAGGTGCCGGATCGAAGAAACAGGGGGGGACGCACGTGTTGTATGACCCTACGCAGAGTGAGAGGGGTGCGCTGGTGTGCGTGGCGCGGGCCCCGCGGAAGAAATCGGCGGAAGACTTCATTGCACCACCGCTGGTCATCCATAACCCCCATGCACTTCAACTGTTCCGCGATGAACCCAGTCGGAAGCGACAGAGAGAGAAGGCGCGGAAAGATCCCATCAAATCGCGGCGGCCCGAGCCACCGCTGCCGGGACCAGGACATGGTGGCCGCGTGGGCGCGTCGAAGGGCAGCTTGTTGACCCAGTACTTGCTGCGGGAGGGAGGATTAATTAAGGAGACCTGGATGGAGGAGGATCCGAGGGAGGCGATCCTGCGCCACGCGGATGCCGCTAAGGAAGAGCCACTTATTTTTGGAGCGGCTTATTCCAGAACTCAACCTGAGCCTGTCTTCCAAATGCCCGACGACGAAGAAGAAGATGACAAAAAATGAAGATGATGAGAAACGGGAAGTTGATTTTTTTAAGGTGATTTTCTCCCCTTTGGTGGAGCAGGAGCCGGCTTTGCATAATTCCATAGTTAATTAGATTGACGATCTATTGAGTAGTTGGTTGATAGGAAGCTAGGAAGATTAGATAGATGGATAGATAGGTAGACGAATGGTTTCGGACTTTAGATAAGATAGGTTAGGCAAGATCAAAAGGTAGGTGATCTGTAGGGGCTAGCACAGCTTGAAGAAAGGATAGATGATTTTCTGTTTTGGCCATTCCTGCAGTTGATCTTGCTACCAAATATTCTATGACATGCAATTTCAATTGATCTTCTGCGGCTCTTGTCTTTCTGTCCGTTTGGACTCAAGTACGAGAATGTAAGACAGTTAGTCTTTTTTTTGCCAACGGTGACAGGGGAGGTTGAGCGAGGAGGATTAGTAAGTCCCGGAAGGGGTAATTCCATCCATCCATCCATCCATCCGTCCATCCATCTTTCTGTGCAGACGTGTGTATGTCTAAGCTGTTGCTGTGAGACAGCGGGATGGGGAAGTCGCACGAGGGCGTTGCTGAAGCAGATTGGATGGCGAAAATAAGACGTTCACATTTATCCATTCCTTCCCCGCCCCCCTCCCTCGCCTTACCCTCCGAGGAGAGAGAGACACAGAGACACACACACACACACACACACACACACACACACACACACACACACACACACACACACACACAACAGTCATGCTTTTTTTGAGTGTATAGCGAATATGACAACACACACACACACACACACACACACACACACACACACACACACACACACACACAGAGAGAGAGAGAGAGAGAGAGAGAGAGAGAGAGAGGTCAAGGATCACTGCTGTGTTTCAGATGATTTTTTATGAAACTTCATTCGTTTTCACAGCAATACCCACTGAACTGGCAGGTAAGGAGTGGGAGAGGGTATTGAATGTCTTGAAGTGAGTGAATTTATCACCGAAAAATTGTACTGTGTTCGCTTGTACAGCTGAGAACTACATCCGTGGAATGGGCCTGGTGACAGTGCAAGGAAAACCCTAAACCCTTAAGCCAAACTCTTCATATCCCTCTACAAAATGGCAGAGGGAGGGAGGGAGGGAGGGAAGAAGGGAGGTGTGTCATTCTGCCTTCTCAGTCAATAGTTGTGTGACAATTCAGCAGACGCACATAGTTAAGAGTGACTCTGCCGATTGCTGAGGATCAGTCTGTGAGAATATCGTGCTTCTCAAGATGCCTCACACTTTCTATAGTGCGGAACGTCCCTCCTGACATGTCAGCAATCCTGATTGTCTCTGAGAACTGGGGACACAGCCTTGACAATTTTCTATCGTGTGTATGGCTGAAGAGTCCTCAGCAGAATAAAATCCTTTGGTGACATCGTTGACTGATGAGAGTGGCTGTTAGACCAGACTGAACGATTTATTTATTTATGGCGTCTAGTGTTGCGGTTGCTGCTAAAGAATCCCGTATATCTTTGCCCAAAACAATTTACCTTCTTCCCCCCAAACACAATGCCTCGTTGTCATGACCACGTCCTATCAGGACGACAGCTTGTTTGCATCCATGGCATACTTGCGGCGCATCATGTGCGTGCCACTTGTCACGTGTGGCGCAAAGCGCATGCACATGAGTGTGCGCTCGCATGGTGCGGCGCACCCACAAAAATGGGGGTCTTCCCTAGGCTGTTTTTCCGGGCGCCCGGGCACCCAACTTCTGCCCGGGTACACGGCTGGGTGCTGGCCGGGCATGACCCCTGGGCAGGGTTCCGGGCAGGGCCAGCGCAGAAAAAAAAAAAAAAAAAAAAAAAAAAAATCCAGAAAAAAATGTGCTGTGTAGAATTGAAATACAAGCGATTTTGGCTGAGGGTCGCATTATAATTCCTCACAGAATCGGAGATAAAAAAGAAAATAACAGAATCACACAAAGGCACCCCCCTTGAGTCCCCTTTCAATTTATACCACCCTCCCCCCCCTTGACAGCCAACTTGCAAAAAAATAAATGAGCCCAGATTTGCGGTCCACGCTCGGGCAGCAGCCACAGATTTGATTGCATTAGAGGAAAGCTCAGTAGGTGAAATGAAGGCAGATGGGCACGCCTACTTCTCCAATTTACGGAACAGAGGCCTTTGGAGTCATATACACTGATCTCCCTTTATTGTCCCAACTAGCTGCAGCAGTGCAATGCGTTGCTCCCAGACGTTCTTCCTTTGTGCGAGGACCAGTCTTATTTGATGCTGGCAGGGGATTCGGATGCCAGTCTAGACCCAGACCTGTACCATTTTATTTGATGCTGGCAGGGGATTGGAATGCCAGTCCAGACCCAGACCTGGACAGCATGTCGTTGGGGGCCTGAAAGGCTCAGTTTGGGAAGAAGCTTTACCAATCCTTAAGCTTAGGACAGAGAAACTGGTGACTGACCCTTTCAGAGCAGTGCACCTGACTGTCAAAAAGTTCACCTACCTAAAGTGCAATGGAAGCAAGCACGTGTCAGCATTTCCTCATATCAGAATGCTTACCAGGATTGGTGCTGTCCACTGGTCCCATCCGTCAGCCTTGTTTCGGTGTCTTTTCCCTCATCCACGCCTTCCCCCCCCCCGCCCCCCCAAGGGTGACGAACTTGAGATATCATCTTTGAACTGACCGGCCCCAGGTGAATTTAGAGCTATTTTCACTCATTTGATTCCATCTGGATTTGAACTCAGGTCCACATTTCAACAGTTCATGGGTGTTGTACCAGCTGAGCAAGGCCAGCTGGTGTCCGCCTTCTTTCACTGGTCTGGAATCACAAACCAATCTTCCGCTGCCGAACGCTTGATCTTCAACCCAAAAGCGGGAGAAGCCTTCATAAAAAATAATAACTTGATACTAGAAGCTTTTACAAAAAAAAATAACTTGATACTAGAGATACAAGAGATGACGGAAGCTGTCATCGAAGCCTGCCTTACTCATAACTCAGAGGAACAAACGTTCACAGAACTAATAAAAAGAATTGAAACTGCAGCCAAACCGCCAATGGAATGGAGCCATCCAATATCCAGGGTGTAGAGGGGATGACTGCTCTTATCAGCACCCCCCCACACACCCTTGCCGATGTTTCAATCAAAAAAAAAAAAGAGAGAGCTTTGTCTTCTGAAAGAAAGGAAAGAGAAAAGGAACTGCAGCAGGTGCTGCAATCGTGGAACATAATTTAGCCATCCAGTATCCAGGGTGTAGGGGCGACTGCTCTTATCAGCACCCCACACCCTCGCCGGTGTTTCAATCAAAAAAAAAAAGAAAGAGCGCTTTGTCTTCCGAAAGAAAGGAAAGAGAAAAGGAACTGCAGCAGGTGCTGCAATAGCCGAACAGAATTTATTTGTAAAAAAAAATGCCAGTTGGACACTCTATAAAGGTGTGCTTAAACCACCAGTACATGACCCCAGCCAAGTTGAGAATCGCGATTCAGCCTCGCCTAAAAATCCGAAGGCTTGGGACAGGGCCTCTGAAGGGCAGGTCAAAAAAAAAGAATGTGTCCCGCGCCTTGTGCATGGACACCGGCAGGGTGTTAGAATGATGCACGGATGGGAACACCCCCCCTTGGGCTGACGCATGGTAAGCTATTACAGACACTGCCTGTGCACCACCCAAGGGTTGTCCATGGTGTTGTATGTCGGGTCTTGATACTGCGTGGGTTGCTCGTCGCCGTTGCTTATGGTTGCTCTGTTGATCTCGCCAGTCTGGCATATCACACACAGGTGCTGTTTGCGATTGTTGCTCAAATGATAGAGTCTTCAGGTCACATGGATCATGGGTTCGAGTCTGGCTTGGGACTTTGGGGGGCTTCTTGTCCAGCTTGGCCTGTCATCTCTTCAACGAACACATAGTTCCCTCTATATAGTACTACACATATCTGACCTTCGGGCACATACATCTCGCTATACAGTTACACAGAGCACACATGGCCTTCAGGCAGACACAAACACAGCTCGTGAACATGTATACACATAGCGTACGGGCTCATACAAACATACATAGCCTCTGGGCATACATATACACCCTGGGCTTTTGAAAAAAAGAAAAGAAAAAAAAAGAAAAGAGGGTGGTACCCAACTTCAGGAAATGGGCCAGAGTCTTACATAACAGCGCACATGGATGGGTTCAGGTTAGTGGCCGCCACCTTACTGAACCGTATAAGGTGTCTAGGTTCGTAAGATAAGGTGACCCCTTTAGCCGCACCCAGCTTTCTATCATGATGGAAGCAATCGCCTCATCTGTTAGGGAGGACCCGTCCCCAGAAAGGTTAACTCAACCTACGGATGAGCATAATCTGGTCTTCCACCTTCCAATGACAATCTTGTTTGCAGGTGACCGTGCTGTCCTCATTAGAGCCTCTCTCTCTCCGTTCCGAGCATTGGCAGAGCAATGCACGTGCTGCAACTATTTCCTCTTTAGAGCCTCTGACACATCCTTCGAAGCATCGGCAAGGGCAATGCATGTGTTCGAACTAGCATCATAAATGCAAATCATCTGGGCAAAAACACGTGGCTGGCGCATGTCAGACAACTGAGACCAGTCCCCCAGGGCCCCAGCCACACCTCTGGAAGTTTTAAGAAACAGTGAGACAAATCTGAACCGATAAGATACTTTGGAGCCAAAAGTAAAGGGGCACCTCACACTCGATTGCGCAGGAAATACGAGCCAGAGTGATAGCTAAGCGACTAGGCTCAATGTCATCCATCTATATTTCACCTTTACAGTACAGCCCGTTTCTCTTCCTTTTGTAAAAGCGCGATGGCCTTGAGATATCATCATCAAACTGACCAGCCCCAGGTGAATGCGGAGTTATTTATTCATCTGAGTTCACTGGTATTTAAATTGAGGTCTGTATTTCAACAGTTCATGGGTGTACCGACTGAGCTAGGCCCATTGGTATTACAGTAGAGCCCTTACCCTCCCCGCATTATGGTGTGCCGCAATAATATCAGACTCCCCCACCTAAAATCAATGCTCAAGAAGAAGATCCACTTAGTATGTCACTATGAGTAACAACTTCAGATCAAGGCTCTACAAAATAAGTGGATACTAAACTAGTGCAAGGAAAATGAGCGAGAGCGAAATGAAAGAATTCCAAACTGCAACACCACATTGAAAGCCAGATAGTCCTGAGCTGTCCAGAATGCTGAAATGCACTGATATCACACCAAAGGAGACCAAAACAATGAACTCAATTGTCAACTTCAGCCCTTATCTCGCCACCATCAACAATGTGTCCAATGTCCTTCTCCCTACATGGTGCTCATCGCCCAGACTACGATCACACAGCTCCTATACTAGCCTACTCTAGTGACCACGCAACAGGAAGACTTCAGCAGCAGAAACCAAA